GCCTTGGGCATGGTTTGAATTAACGGCCTGTAAGGGTCAAAGATAGACTCTGCCGGAGCAGAGTGATCCAGTAACTTGGCACAAACAGATAAAAAGTCCAAAATAGACATGGTAGTTCTTGTGGACACTGGGGAGGCCCCAGCCCTGCCCGCCAAAGCTGAAGAAGACACTGATGATCTACCTGCATGTACCGGACACTGAAGGTTGTCAATGGATTGGAGGCGTAGTGGATTTCCCAGACGGGTGTATACATTCTCTGTTACTCTTCTCCTCTACTTTCCTTCTCTTTTCCCCCCCTCCCTTACATTTCCTGTTTTAATTATTATGGTGCAATTTTGGTCCGCCTTTTGGGCCCTTACTCAGGGTTAAAGAATATAGTCTAGACTGCATAGGTCACAGGTGTCAAACTGGCGGCCCTCCAGCTGTTGCCAAACTACAAGTCCCATGAGGCATTGCAAGACTGACAGTTACAAGCATGACTCCCAAAGGCAGAGGCATGATGGGACTTGTAGTTTCCGAACAGCTGGAAAGCCGCCAGTTTGACACCCCTGGCCTAGGCGATCTGAGCAGAAGCGGGGGCGGATACCTATCAAAACTAGGTCCCTGCCCCCCCCCCCCAAAAAAAAATGTGTCCAAAAGTGGGAGAGGAGGAAGGGGAAAAGTGGAATGCCTCCTTTTGGGTGAAGTTCTGGTTTCTCGACAGCGCTTCCTTGAACATTAGCAAAAAAAAAAAAAAAAAAAAAAACAGAAGCATGCTGGGTAGAGAAGAGGGTTACACAGTTCTAGCTTACTAGTTTTTTTAGTGTCCCACGTCCTGTAAGCGGCAGTTATAACATGACCATTTCCACATTCCTCTGTTCCGCACTGAAAGACGAAGAAATAAAGGAAAGAAAACTGATGCAGCCACCACATCAAATTTTTATTATTTTTCCTGATAGCATGTTTAGGCTCCATACACACAAGGCATTTTAATAACACCGGTAACGTTAGCTGTGCAAAGTCACGTTAAAAACCTGACTTTTTCAGCATGTTTCATCATTAGTGTTTAGCCCCCTTTTTTTTTTTTCTTACTAAAAAAAAAAAAAAAAAAAGGAAGGAAGTTTTTTGCTCAAGAAAAGTCCAAAAATGCCTTTTCCCGTTAGTCATGTTAAAAATGTGAGTTTTTCGGAGTTTTTCAGCAGTAGCGTTTAGCCACATTTTTTTTTCACAAAAAAAAATATTTTTTTCATGCTCCAAAAAAGTCCAAAAACACCAGTTTGCCACGTTAGTCACATTAAAAACATGAGTTTTTCAGAGTTTTTTTACCATTAGCGTTAGCCGCGTTTTTTTTTTCCTACCAAAAATAATTTTCTTTACTCAAAAAAGTTGAAAAACGCCAGTTTGCTGCATTTTTCAGCATTAGAGCATTTTTACAGCGAAAAAACTCCTCTAGAATCACACTAGTCCTGGGTTTTTTTCCAGCCAAAAAATGTTGATTCCAGTCTATGTGTGAATGGACACAAGATAACATGCTGGGGGGTTCACTGGCTGTAGAATAAACCGCCAAAAGCCAAAAACAGGCGCTGTAAAAATGTCCCGTGTGCATGAGGCCTCATTGGCTCTGAGTCGTGCACCCACAACCTCCCCGTCTGGGAGCTGCTGTACAGGAAATGATGAGATACTTATATCAAGACAAATTCAGGAACTTATATTAGCTGCAAATAAAAAATACATTTTATATATTTTTTATAGAACACACAACCTTATTTATTGGTGCTTTTTTCAGCTTTCAGTTAAAAAAAAAAAAAAAAAAAAAAAAAAAAAAAATCAAGGTTACGGGAAAAAAAAAGGCTGGAAATCTGTTTTACATATTACAAAAAAGTTATATATCCACATCTGGAAAAAAAGAAAAAAAAATCCAAATCATACACTTGTCATTCACTTGAGTAGATGTAAACCTAACTAAACAACATTGTTGTCACATTTAAGTGCTACTAAGCTCCCTCTGCCTCTTTGCAGCCACTTCCCGACTTCATGCACACCAGTGATGGCTGCATGGCATTTCTCACAGCGGGTTTTCTGATGGTGACAACAGATGGCCTCCCTTTTTGGTACATCAGCCTCTTATAGCGTCCATAGAGGCCTGGGTGACAACGCAGGAGCACAAATCAAAGACAGGGACAAAACTGTGGGACAAGCACAGATCTGTTCTCAGACAAAAGAATAAAAAAAACACATGAGCTGTGGGTGGGGTAAACAGCATCACACTGATCTTCCCAGCGAATGGTTGTGCGGGGGGGGGGGGGGGGGGCACAAGTCCATTGGAGAACAGACAGACTGTTCTCCCAGGGCAGACAGAAAACTGACCATGCTGGGATAAATGTACTCTCATGCCTAGTGTGGTCAGTTTGTAATAGGAAACAAGGGGGACTGACTGAATCACCATGTATTTCACACAAATGGAGCAATACAAAGAGAACAGGATACTTTTTAATACGTGTACATGGTGCAACAGACACATATCAGGGATATGAAATGTTGGGGTAATACATTCTATAAGAAAACTCCTTGTATTATTTTCATAGAATGCAACAGTTTTTATGAATGGGGGAGGGAGTGGTTGAAGCGCAGGATCCCCTCCTTTACTTGCAGTGTTCCAGTCCGAGGAAATGATACAGGGAGAATTCATAATCAATGGCGGGGAGGAAGCCACTGTTCTTAAAGTGTTACTAAACCCCGAACCCTGCATTCACTATGTCCACTCTCCCGGGACCCCGCATTCACTATATCCGCTCTCCCGGGACCCCGCATTCATTATATCCGCACTCCCGGACCCTGCATTCACTATATCCACTCTCCCGGTACCCCGCATTCATTATATCCGCACTCCCCGGACCCTGCATTCACTATATCCACTCTCCCGGGACCCCGCATTCACTATTTCCGCTCTCCCCGGCCTCTGCATTCACTATATCCGGTCTCCCCAGTCTCTGCATTCACTATATCCGGTCTCCCCGGTCCCTGCATTCACTATATCTGCTCTCACCAGACCCCGCATTCACTATATCCGCTTTCCCCGGACCCCGCATTCACTATATCCGCTTTCCCCGGACCCCGCATTCACTATATCCGCTCTCCCCGAACCCCGCATTCACTATATCCACTCTCCCGGGACCCCGCATTCACTATATCCGCTCTCCCCGGACCCCGCATTCACTATATCCACTCTCCCGGGACCCCGCATTCTATATATCCGCTCTCCACGGACCCCGCATTCACTATATCCGCTCTCCGGGACCCCGCATTCACTATATCCGCTCTCCACGGACCCCGCATTCACTATATCCGCTCTCCACGGACCCCGCATTCACTATATCCGCTCTCCACGGACCCCGCATTCACTATATCCGCTCTCCACGGACCCCGCATTCACTATATCCGCTCTCCACGGACCCCGCATTCACTATATCCGCTCTCCACGGACCCCGCATTCACTAAATCTGTTCTCGTCGGACCCGCATTCACTAGATCCGCTCTCGTCGGACCCCGCATTCACTAGATCCCCTCTCGTCGGACCCCGCATTCACTATATCCGCTCTCCCCAGACCCCGCATTCACTATATCCGCTCTCCCGGGACCTCGCATTCACTATATCTGCTCTCCCCGGACCCCGCATTCACTAAATCTGCTCTCCTCGGACCCTGCATTCACTAGACCCGCTCTCGTCGGACCCTGCAATCACTAGACCCGCTCTCGTTGGACCCTGCAATCACTAGACCCGCTCTCGTCGGACCCTGCAATCACTAGACCCGCTCTCGTCGGACCCTGCAATCACTAGACCCGCTCGTCGGACCCTGCATTCACTAGATCCGCTCTCGTCGGACCCTGCATTCACTAGATCCCCTCTCCTCGGACCCCGCATTCAATATATCTGCTCTCCCCAGACCCCGCATTCACTATATCCGCTCTACCCGGACCCTGCATTCACTATATCCGCTCTCCCCGGACCCTGCATTCACTATATCTGGTCTCCCACAGTACACACATAGAAATGCAATTAGTTTAGTAAATATAAACTGCTAAATCCCTTTTCTCATCAGCAATATCTAGCAGTCTTGTGACTTCAATCAGTATCAGTGTCCATCAGAGCACTGGTTAAAGTTTGTTTTCATTCTGCTCTAGGAAGATGCAGGACACCTGACCTCTGTCTGCACAGTGCTGATTGGCCCTGTGCAGATCACATGCACTCTCCCAAAAAAAAAAAAAAAAAATCCTCTCTAGCAATACACACCAAACCGAGCATGTGCAGCGTGCCCCTAAGGCTCTGTTTTATCAGCAGATGGATTGGGGACAGTAGAAGAAGGGGAAGACCAGAGAAGACAGGATCAAACAGCCTTTTTACACAATGCAGAGGATTAACCCCTTAAGTTCCACTGTGACTATAACCAGCATGCTTTGCTGCACCTACAGACTGATGTTACTGTTGTGGGTTTAGTAACACTTTAAACCATGCAGAGCTAGAAGTTTGCAGTTGCAAGCAGGACTCAAGTATCAGTAAAAGGGATTTCATTGGAGGTAAGTTATGTTCCTGGTGCAGCATACAAAAAAAACAACCCCCCAAATTTTTTTTTATAAATAACTCCATAGTTACATAGTTAGTCTGGCCAAAAAAAGACAAAAGTCCATCCAGTTCAACCATTAAAAAAAAAAAAAAGTTATAATACTACATCCACAGTTGATCCAGAGGAAGGCAAATAAAACCCAGCAAAGCATGATCCAATTTCCTCCTGCAGGAGAAAAAATTCCTTCCTGATCCCACAAGAGGTCTATAACACCCCATAAGGTATTACTTGACCAAGTACAATACAGAGAACCAAACCAAAGAATGTCCTTCAACTTCAGGACACGTGGCTAACATCTGCCTTGGGGTCCTTCAACTTCAGAACATGTGGCTAACATCTGCCTTGGGGTCCTTCAACTTCAGGACACATCTCTAACATCTGCCTTGGGGTCCTTCAACTTCAGGACAGGTGGCTAACATCTGCCTTGGGTTCAGGTTTCTCCTCGTTGTGATTCTGCTGAAACATGAGATGGAGTCTCTTGTGCATTTCCTTATGTACGACCAGACTAGACTTCCTCCTGAATTCCCTGCCGCACTCCGAACAGGAAAACTGGACAACACACGTGCGATTTCTTTGATGTTTCACTAGACTGGCTTTAAAGACGAAGCTTTTCCCACATTGGCAGCAGGAAAATGGCTTTTCCCCCGTATGAGACTTCTGGTGGCAATAAAAGTGGGTTCTGTCCGCAAAGCATTTGCCGCATTCGGAACATGTGTAAGGCTTCTCACCCGTGTGAGCCGTGTGGTGCCTAGCAAGACTCGATTTTGTGGTAAAGCATTTCCCACATTCAGAACAGGAGTACGGCTTCTCCCCTGTGTGAGTCCTCTGGTGAAGAAGTTTAGAATGTTGAGAAGAAAAAGACTCCCCGCATTCCGAACACGAATATGGCTTCTCCCCTGTGTGAACTTTTTTGTGCGTGATAAGGGACGATTTATGATAAAACCGTTTGCCGCATTCCGAACATGAATACGGCTTCTCCCCAACGTGTGTGCTTCGATGTCTAGCAAGATTCGACCTTTCCGCAAAACGTCTACCACATTCTGAACATGAATAGGGCTTCTCTCCCGTGTGTGTTTTCTGATGTATCAGAAGACCTTGTTTGGAGCTGTAGCTCTTCCCACACTCAGAACATGGATATGGCTTCTCCTGTTTGGGACCATCATGAATGCCACGAGCTGAGTGGTCAACAACACTCCTTCCATGTTTTGAGGGATCAAATTTCGTGTCTGCACTATGAGGTGCTGGATGGAAATTTGGGGGAATATGTTTTTTCTCTGAAGGATCTGATGTGACATCTTTGTCTTCTGAGGAATCTGATGGGACATCATCATCTTCTGAGGAATCTGATGTGACATCATCGTCTTCTGAGGAACCTGATGTGACATCATTATCTTTTTCAGCACCAGAAAGGACAGCAGGAGCTTCTTCTGTATCATACCTTCTATATCGTCCATCTGGAAGAAATAAGAATGACCGAGACTAAAGAAAAGTACTATTATGGGTAAATTGCTGGACATAGATAGGTCAAAAGTCAACAGAAGTTCATAGACTTCGGTCAAGCAGAAACGTTGGAAAGCTTTGGTTGATCAGTGACTGCCAGCGCCAAGCGGAGATTCCCATTGGTTGGGAATCTCCCATTCATCTAGCTTTGAGAGGATGGAGTAATCAGTTTTTTTTTTGGGTTCAGCTTGCTGGCAGAACAAAAAAAACAAAAACAAATCATCTATGGCCAACTTTACTCAAGATGATGACCTTGCCCAATGGACTTCTGTCAAACAGGAATGTTGGAAAACTTTGGATGATCAGTGACTGCCACCGCCAAGCGGAGATTCCCAGTGGGGGGGGGGGTGGCGAGAATCTCCCATTCATCTTGCTTTGAGAGGATGGAGTAATCAGTTGTTTTTTTTGGGTTCAGCTTGCTGGCAGAACAAAAAAAACCCCCCAAAATCATCTATGGCCAAATTTACTCAGAGATGATGACCTTGCCCAACGGACCTAAGATCTAGTTAAGTAGGAACTGCAGTACCCGCAACGCCATTTGCTGCCTCGGATGTCAATCACAACTGTATGCAAACAATACAGATCTCTCCCCTGTCAGCTCCTGCACATTGCTTTGTATGGCTCTGGATAGCACAGCCATACAAAGCAGTGTGCTTACAATGAAGAACACACACAGCACACATAGTAAAACACACACATCTCACATAGTTAACCCTTTGATCACCCCTCATGCTCACCCCTTCCTGCCCAGTGCCATTAGTACAGTGTCCGTGCTTTTTATTAGCACTGATCACTGCATTGGTGTCACTGGGGAAGTCAGTGACATCAAGTCAGTTCTCCCCCCAGTGTCAGAATGCCCGCCGCAGTCCCTCTATAAGTCACTGATTATCTAGTAAAAAAAAAAAAAAAATCCCAGTATATATACCGCCACTTGTAAACGCTATAAGCCAATTAATTTACATGTATTTGGGTTTTTTTTTAGCAAAGACATGGAGCAGAATACATTTAAATTTTTATACTGGACACGTTTAATAGTGAAAACTAAAAGATATTGTGTGGTTTTTTTTTCAAAATTGTCAGTCTTTTTTTGTTTATAGTGCAGAAAATAAAAACTGCAGAGGTGATCAAAGAAAGCTCTATCTGTGAAAAAAAAAAGGATGTCAATTTCATTTGGGTGCAGCGTTGCATGACTGCGCAATTGTCAGTTAAAGTAATGCAGCACTGTATCGCAAAAAATGGAATGGGGGGGGGGGGGGGAATCCTCTGGAGGGCAAGTGACGGAGCGACGCTTCTGCTGTGATTGGACACAGCAGAAGCCGATCAAGGGGTGCTGATGCTCATCCATTGGCCAGCACCTGTTGATCAGCTTCAACAAGTGACGTCCAATGGATGAGCGCCGGCATCTGTTGATTGTAGAGGAGATTGACTGTAAAGAAGGCAGAGCTGTGTCCTGTCAGCAGCGATCTGCTAGATTTTCTTTCAGGGAATAAAATCTAGCAGATTGCCTAGTAAAAGCACCTTACTGCATACACAAAACACATAGCTAGACACAACTGACCCTTTGACCACCCTAGATGTTTAACCCCTTCCCTGTCAGTGTCATTAGTACAGTGACAGTGTATATTTTTAGCACTGATCAGTGTATTAGTGTCACTGGTTCCCACAAAGAGTCAGTTAATGTCAGACTGTCTGCAGCAGTATCGCAGTCCCGCTATAAATCGCTGATTGCTGGCATTACTAGTATAAAAAAATACAAATAAAAAAATTCCAGTATATATACACAGTATATATATTACGCAAACCAATCAATAGACACTTTTGGGGATTTTTTTTACCAAAACTATGTAGCAGAAAGCATTTTGGCCTACATTTATGAAGAAATTTGATTACATTTTTTTTTATTATTGGATATGTTTTAAAGTAGAAAGAAAAAATATATATACACAGGTATACCTCAGTTTATGAACACCTCGGTTAATGTAATTTTCAGTTTACGAATAAAAATCCTTTGAAAATAATGCCTCAGTTAACAAATTTTTTTCATAATACGAATTGATTAATTGATTTTCAATGTTTTCACAAATTAATTTTTAATCATGTCCCTGTACAGTATTATGCCTTTAAAGTGCACTTTATAAAGAGTTTTGAACATATAAAACTTTTTTTTTTTTACTTTTTTTTTACTTTTTTCTGACCTCCGGAACGGATTAATTGGTTTTCAATGCATTTATGATTTTTTTTTTTAATCATGTCCCTTTATGCCTTTAACCTCTTCACGCTGGCCGCACGCAAATGCTGGGGCCGCACATTTGTGTGCAATTAAGAAAAAACATATGTGCTGAGAGCACTCCCAGCACACATGTCCAGTACTCACGGAAAAGTCCCGATCTCTCTTTCGATTGGGACCTTTCCTGATCATGTAACCACCGTGACAGCGAATCACGGCGTTCACATGACCTTAAAACCCCTCCCGGCTTCTGAAACCCTTAAAGGGCCGGGAGGCGCCAGCGCCAAGGGGTTAAAGTGCACTTTATAAAGAGTTTTGAACAGATAAAACTTTTTTGTTACTTTTTTCTGACCTCCGGAACAGATTAATTGGTTTCAATGCATCCCGATGGGAAATCGCATTTCGGTTTACAAATTTTTTGCAATGCAAAAAGTCCCGCAGAACGAATTAAATTTGTAAGCCAAGGTACGCCTGTATATATTTTTTTCAATTTTGTTGTCTTTTTTTTATTCATAGTGCAAAAAAAAAAAAATAGAAAACGCAGTGGTGATCAAATACCATCAAAAGAAAGATCTATTTGTGGAGGGAAAAAAATGACATAAATTTAATTTGTGTAGAGAGCGTTGCATGACCGTACAACTGTTAGTTAAAGTAACGCAGCGCCGTATGGCAAAAAAATTGCCTGGTCAGGAAAGGGGGGGAATCTTCTGGAGCTGAAGTGGCTACTCTAGTGTGACAAACTGAGACTCCTTTATTACAAGATCCACCTCTGTTTCTAACCAAGGGTTGCGAATAAAATCCTAATTCATGTGAGAAGATGACATTAAGCTGTGCTACCTTGTGGTACAGAAATGACTACCTTGGACCTCTGTTTGGCTGAGCAACACACAAATCAAGTTCAGGATCCACAATCCTCCTAAAACAAGTCATTATTTTTATTATTACTTTTTTTTTTTTTTTTTAAAGAGCTGAAGCAGCAAAAGGAAACGGTTTTCTGCAGTTAGAGTTTATTACTCACCTGTGCCAATCTCTATAGCAATTTCCTCCTCTTCAACCTTCACAGGTCTTTCCTCTTTCTCCTCTTTAACATTGACCTCTCTCCGAGTCTCTCTGGTGTCTACGGGGTCTGTGAATAAAGATGAGAGTGAAGCCCCCTGTACTGAGATGTATGAGAGACCCCAGAGAGTGTGCGCGGGGAGAGACTGGTCACGTCTCTTGGCTGGTAATAAATTCATGTACCTGTTTCTGAATTTTTGAGGGGTGGCTGGTTCTCCATCAAAAGGTCCTTCTTCTGATCCTTGGACTCTAACTTTTCACTTGGCCTACAAAGTTCTGTCAGATGTCTGTGCTCAGGAAGATAACTCCATGACGTATGCGGATGTATGAGAGACCCCAGAGAGTGTGTGTGGGGGGAGACTGGTCACGTCTCAATGACATGATGTGAGGAGGAGAGGCGGAGTCTAATAAAGGCTGATGACTCCTGACCCCCACCCCCACTGGGCACATACTGTCCCCCATTATGGTCTACTAACAGAGGAGGGGGAGAAGAAGAGATTGTTGTAGTGACTGAACAAGGAGGCTCTGGGACTCTTCTCTGGATTTAGTGTTTATTCCTCACCTGTGCTAACCTCTTGAGGGATCTCCTCCTCCATACATGGACCATCATCATTCACATAGGGATCTTCTGCTTCCTCTTTCACTTCAACTTTAATAGCAATTAAATGATTACTCTGAATAACACAAAAGTTTATAATTAACCAGGTATATTGTTTTTTCATAGACAGATCACATATTGTGGTTTTGCTGTATTATCTACTGTACAAATTTCCAAAACACTTTGCTGCATCTACCTGATTCTTCTGAGGGATCTCCGGATGTTCCTGTGTGGAGTCCTGGGAATACAGAGGACGAGGACATCTCTCTGGTGGGTTCCCATTACTGGATCCATCTGTAGGGAACACACACACTGACTGAATACATTGTTTCTATGTCTTTATATCAGAGGATGTGTGTATCTAGGTGGATCCTCAATACAAGAAATGAAAGTCTCCTCTTTGTGAGGGGGGCGGCCGGTTCTCCATCATGACTTCCTTGTAGAGATCCTTGTGTCCTTCTATATACTCCCACTCATCTATTGTTCCTATGTCTTTACATCAGAGGATGTGTGTATCTAGGTGGATCCTCAATACTCTTCTCTCCTTTACAAGAAATTATAGTCTCCTCTTACCCGGTGATGTGGAGGGCGGCCGGTCCTCCATCATGATGTTCTTCTACAGATCTTTCTGTTCTGCTGAAGACTCTCAATCTGTAGTTGAAACAAAGTCTGGGTTGTAACACTCACACTGCAGTGCATTATATCACAATAAACATTAAATGTGTATCTGAAAAAATTGGAATTTATTTGGAGTAAAAAGGCTCATAGATTAAAGAGCCTGTTCTAATTTTAAGTGGTAGCAGAAAGTAGTTATGCACCGATATATCGGCCGGCAAACATTATTGGCTGAAAATAGGGTTATCGGCCTTTTGCCGATAGAAAAAAAAACATAAAAAAGTGCTGATAATGATAATTGACTTAAATGCAAAAATGCCCCCTATTGACTTCAATGCAAAAATTGTGTCCCATTGACTTCA